CCGTGACGTCATGGTATTGTTGCTATGACGTCATACAATTGTTGATAAATTGTGATTCACATGTTGAATGATGCGTATATTCATTTTAGGGTATGTCTGTTACACAACTGGGAACAGATGGTGAGAAATGGAGCGTGACGGCCTATCTACGAGAGGATACAACCCAATCGGTGCCAGCACAGGGTCTCTCATACAATCCAAACGCCCAGCTACAGGGAACAACAACTGTCGTATTTGTTGATGGCTGGGCAAATTTCACTGACCTTGTCATTTCTGAATCCGGCACAATGTTTGCAATTGACTTCAATCTAACTACGCCTACTTCTGGCCGTAGACTTCATATCTCTTCACAGCCGCTTACCATTCAACCCCGTATGATCAAACCAGTGGTAACCATTCTATCAACCACCATCGTCGAAAATAGCACCGTAGCAATAGATATCGAGCTCTATGATAACTCCACTAACACACGGATCTCGGATGCATCTTGGAGGGTAAGCAACTATTGATAAATACATCTGACACGTGACGTTTGCTTCGATGCATGAAAGTAGTCTATACACTAGTCTATTTCTCTTTCTAATTATATATATGTTCATAGACAAATACAAGTCTCGGGTTAAGTGCGATCACCAGTTGTATGCATATTTATTTACGTATTATTATGCATGTTTACTTCATTGTCCTCCAAGACATGGACATAATGATAAAAAATGCCTGTTACATTTTTGTCATATAACATAGGCAATGATTTTGGATATTTCGTAACTGTAAGATAAGGTTTATAAAATAAGAAACACTAAAGATATCATTTGATTACTATATTTTTTAATTTGAAGGGTCATAATTGGACAGTAACCGTTGGACTTAACACGAAGGCTGTTCCTCTCGGCTCCATGGAAGGAACTAAACAAGTGTTATTTGATAGTGTAAATAGTAGGGCTGTATTTGACGACCTCACCTTCACCAGCTACGGACTGTATTTTCTAAAGTTCCACGTAGTATCCTCTCCTGTCGAGTATGATTTTTATGAGGAAGTATCTATCGCTGTCAACTCATCGATGACAGCGGAAAACTCTACAAGCAAACTCGTTGAAACAACATTCAACGCAGCCTATGATGACGTCATAAAAGACGACGTGACCGCTCTGCACTTCGGAACTGCTGTGACCAACACATTTGCAAAAGAAAATCCTGAAACACGCGTTGATCTCGTCAGTGTAACGAGAGGTAAGTATTGTCTGGTACTCCCGGAAATAACTGCTTTGGTTCTCATTTTGTGGTGAATAAGATTAACATTTAAAACAAGATAAAGACATGAGAAAATAACTAGAGATATTATATAATGTTCTATAACATTATGCAGCATACAACGGTTTGACTATACAATTGTATATACAATAATTATTTCACTTTTTGACTTATCAAGTTATGTATCTACCTGATTGAGTTATTTGTAGAACTACCAGAATTTTAACTGGACTTCTGTAGTGAAAACCCCGTAAAACAGACGTTATTGTTTTGTTAATGTATGATCATGTATGCAATTAAATTAAAGTTTGGTTATATATGTTTGAAGGGAGCATCATTGTCACTTTTACTGTGTCTGGAAATCCCTCCGCCGTTGACTCAATGATACAGGGAGCGTGTACAAACACCACCAGCATAGTGTTTAATGGAGTATCTGTACCACTGTCAGGAAATCCCACGTTCAATGGAAGTAACTGTAGCGCACTTATCGACGTGAGTAAAGTCACTCTCCATTGACAATTTATGATAGTTATGTAATACAACAGGTACGTATAGTAGCTATGAATTTTATAGAACATGTATACCGGAGTATATAAGATCAACTTTCATGCATGTTTACTCCAATATTTTAACTATTTTCTATTCAAGAATTATATTTGTAGTTAATACTGTTATATTTTCATACTAAATTGTCGATAGTTAACGATACTTAATGTTTATTTTTTGACTACACGTTTGATTAAAAACAATTTATTAAAAAGAATATTTTTCAAATAAATTTATGGTTATTGATATCAATTATCATCACACATTTTTTCAATGAGAAACCTTAATAATATATAAGATTTTTTTGTACAAGACCACCATCAGGTCATGACCGTTTTCCGTTATTTTCTAGCTACCGACAACAGCCAGTACGTCGACTTCAACGTCAGCAACTACATCGACGTCAACGTCAACATCTACGTCGACGTCAAGTTCGACGTCGACATCAACGTCAGCAACTACGTCGACGTCAAAGTCAACATTTACGTCGACATCAACGTCACCTTCCACGTCAACAACGTCACCTTCCACGTCAACATCGACATCAACGTCAACTTCCACGTCAACATCGACATCAGCATCACCTTCAATGTCTACATTAACGTCGACTTCCACGGCTACGCCAACCTCAACATCCACGACATCGCCATCTATCCCGACTTCATCATCGGCGGCGACGACCGCTGAAACAATGCCTTCATCAGAAGGAATGTCGACCTCGATATTGATCGTCATAATTGTAGCTGTACTTGCGATTCCGATTGCGGCCATTGTAGTGATTGTCTTTAAATGCAATAAGGCGCGAAGCTACAGGAATGGTAAGTTCCTAAGTAAGATCAGGCGACGATCTTTGTTCTAAGATATAAAAGGTTGGTTTTCATGTTGGTTTAATTTCCAATGCGTATCTGATAATGCTTTATACGATATGTGCAATTATTTTTTGTCACACACACCAGGAGTATATTACAATTTTGTTGACATATGTGCAAAACTAAATGCTTCTACCTTGTCCGATGAGAAAGTTGAAGTAATTAACTAAAGTTATTTTTCAATTTTGACTTCTCTGACCATTAATGTAGAAGATTAAAGATTATAAACAAAGATCGGTCTATTTAAGAAAATATTTCACATACTATCTTTTATAAGCACTCAATCAGAACTAAACATAAAATATAAAGCCTGCTCATTGTACAAGGGGAAGGTTCATAATTCCTGAAAAAACTTCATGTTTCAAACACCTAAAATAAATAGAGAATCACAAACACAACAACTGATGTCGAACAGAATTAAGTACATTGTTTCGAAATATGTAGGGTGATAAAGAGGTTAAGAAAGTTTTAATATATTAAAGTAGTAATTATGCCATTGTTAGGAAACATTGTGCTTGCTTGTGTAATACAATGTGTGCTATGTTGTGCTGTTGCCGTTGCCTCGGTTCACGTTTTGATTGCTTGACATCACCTGGATATCGGCTAGATTTACATTGTTGACACAGTAGAAGAAACTTCTCTATCATTCTTTTATTATATTAAGATAATGTTGATCAATTATGCGATCGTATTAATGGTTTGTACTCAAGTATCATTTTTATGTAAAATGAGGACCATAAACAAATGAAATAAATAATGTAAGTTCTCGCTATATCAACTCAATACACTCACGCATATATTGGGTTGTGAACATGCATACTGTAACACAAAAAAGAGGAAGTAATTACTGTAAAATCAATATTTATTTGGTATTCAAAAAGATGAGTCAGGCTGATATCTCAATTTAGAACGCCATTTTAAATCAATTTCTACAATATATATTGGATCTCAAGCTTAATAACCCTAACAAACATTTAAGATATCTACATATCTACTATGAAATAAGTATGAAATTTCTTCATAATTACTTTTACATAAATATGGGATCTCAACATACATAATGTTACATATATATATAAATACAGTGTATCAACATAAATACTATTATAAAATACACTGTCGTTGAACAAACACGTCTGGATACAACACAAGTGGTATTATAACAATTTCCAGTAGGCCACTGGTCACAATAGTTACTTTCAATGATCTGCTGTTCTCTCTCAATAGTAAACTTCTATTTCTAAAGACACCTCACTGCTAATAAAACGAACGTTTAACTTTAAACGAAAACAAACAAAGCCTTTCTGGTGGTTTCTCCCAGTCCCTGTCAGGGTTAACAGGATATCCTTGCTCCAACTCACTGATTTCTTACGTGTTCTGTCTACATTAATTACAAAACTATCTGTTCTCAAATAATTAACCTTTTTATATGTTAAACTTTATCATCAAAGTTAACAAAATTAAACAAAATCATTCATAAAACTTATCTTGCAGCTAGATACAACAAGTAACTTTGAAGAAGAAACATAGCTTTCGTTTAATTAAACATAATCACATAAATTTGTTTTTTAAAACGTAACAATTGTTTTACTTAATGTCGAAAAGGCGACCATTTGTATCACAAATTTTTTTTGTAACAAATAAATATAACTTATTAGCAAGGTCTTTCAACACTTTGGACAGAAACAGTACTCACCTAAAACCTCGAAGTATTTAATATTGTGTTTGAGATTTATATAAGTACTCTTCAACCGCCACATATGTAAGATTTAGTAGATTCTAGACATTTTATTAGAGATACAGCTCGTATTTAAATAGTGTAGCAAAGAAGAGCAAGTATGAATTAGATTCCGCAGACTGGACAATGTGTAAGACTATTCCCTCTTACTTGTCTGTACATTGTTTTTCTTTTCTTTATGTTGTAGGACGCAGGATATCACATCCTTACCGCCAGAATGTTGATACCATCTACACCGACAAATTGGGCCATCTAAAGGAGGAGAAATACGCGTATATCACTGGACCAACTACTAGATATGTGCCATCGGAGAGGAACGGGGGCCCCTCCTCGAGAAGTAGTACCCCTACAATCTATGTTCAGCGGTCTCCAATGATGAACACTCGTGGAATCTACACTGAACCACTGTCTAGTTCAGGCACGCCAACGTCCCTTCATCATTCTGGCTCCAATACAAGGGAACCTGTTGTGCTTGGTGTTTCCAATGCAGGGTACCAGACGGAGCCTGTTGTTCTTTCAGACAAAAGTGGTAGGAGTACGCCATCCTTTTACACTGGGCATGGCAAATGGAAATAGGACATTTTGAATCGCAGGCTAAAACGACAATCAGCTTACTTTCACCAGAGTTTCGCAAATTTCACAATCTCAGAGATATTTTAGCAATGCATATTGCTTTTGCTAATAATTGTTCGGTGAAGAAGTTGAAATGGTCGCAGTAACATACATAGAAATGATAAAAAAAACCTATACATTTGCCATTATTATTAACTTTTTATACACAGAGGGAATTTTTCATAAAGTAAGCTTCATATTTTAACAGAAAGAAAAAAATATAAATAATATGGTCTTTGAATTTAAATGAACATAATGTTTTCCTGTGTGCTTAATTTGGTAAAAACGTGATTTAATATACATAACAAATCATGCTAAACTAGGTTTGGGGATTAAAACACGTAAGAAAAAGTCTGTAATACAATTTTGATAACATAAGACCATATGCTAATTATTTGTGGGTTTTCAATTTACATCTTGGTTAGATATATTACATGAAATGTTATCAGACTAAATTTACCATTGAAGAAATTGTTTTTAAATTCTTAGCATCTTTAACTGAAACATCGTTTTATATAAAAGAACTGATCAAAGCATTTGTATGCAGGATTGTATAAATAACCAAACAACATCTGCAGGTATAAAGCACATGGGATAACATTTGTTTTCATTGTAGATATCATGCATTTAACATATCTTATCATAAATGAATAACAACTTCTGAAAGATGTTCTTAAAATGTTTTCATCCGCTGTTCCTTAATCTACTGTTACATCAGTGACTAATGGTATACATATTTTTTTTTGATATCCGGTGTTTCTTTCGAATTGTTAATTGTCAGGGAGACACATTTTGTAAAGCTGTATTACCTAAATTCCGGAATGGCGTGACTGTTAAGACTTTATTTTAACAGGAATGCACATCCTAAATACCAAAATACCAAAATAAAACAAAAATAAAAATCGTTTTTAAAATCGTTGCCTAATTCTTATTAAGAAACTTAGTTTAATAATAAAAAAATAACCTCGACTGACACTGTTGTTGTTTGGCAAACACACCAAAGTATACAAATGAGGCCACACTCTTGAAATTCATGTTTAAAGTTTTTGATTGCATAAAACGGGAAAATTGAATAATGAATAAAATTGTATTTTCAATAACATAAATAAACGATTCTTATATAGATAAATTATGTAGAATTAATTGTCAAAAAAACATAAAATCATAAAAGAACATTTGTAATTATATTTACTAACTTGAAGCATATTACGTAGTAGTTTGCGATTATTATGAAAAGGCTTTATTCTGATTTACAACTGAAAGCAGAGTTTTTAACCGAAGGGACAGTTTTCTGAGTATATAAGTTCTCTTTCTTGATTCACTAGATCTGCATGGCCGCTCCGAAGCAGGCGATATCTGTTGTATGCTTGTAAGCATTGTCAGTCACGATATTTATTTGATCACCAACTGTGCATGTATTTATCAGAGTCCACGATTAACTATACAAAATATATTCAACCGATATACGACTAAAATCCGCAGTTGGGCCTTAATGGCTTGTAAGCACGAAAATAACATTTTAATGTAAAAACGATAATTATTGTATTTTGTGCCATGATAATAATATAATATGGATATAATTACGCTATAAGCGATGAGGGTTTATAATGTTGGGAATGTTATACATAACTTATTACTTATGTTTAATAAACCATTTTAAACGTAGGAAATATAAATATTTTATGCTTTAAACGTCAATCCAAGGTATCAAAGTTGAAAATTATAGAAAATTAAAATGCATAGTTTCTTTGCAACCATTCGTTATTTTCTGATAAATTAATGCAACAACAAATGTTTGATTTTTTTTAATTCAGCCATTTTTTTATATGCATGTAACCAAAACACTCTGTTGTTTAGTAATCACTTATTGCTAAATTATACAAATTCTGGTTAATTCATCGTAGACAATTTTGTTTTCAAAAGTCAATCCATGGCCTCAATGTTGAAAATTTTAGAAGATTTTAATTTTTTATTATTATTAATTATTGTATTTTCTGACAAATTGATAAAACAAAGAATTGGTTGATTTTTAAAAACAAATTAAGCATGTTTATTATTGTTTTTAAAAGATGAAATAAAAATGTGTCATTATATATCAAAATCAATCTTGTTTTGTTTCCTTTGATAAGCTTTATGGTTCTTAACAGAAGTACAAATTTAGTCCATGAAATAGCTAACGTTTTGCCTCACAAGTTTATAGCTTACCATGTTTACATACTTTCTACTACATACTGTCTTTATTTACGTATGCGGTATGGGTGCAAACATGTATCCAACTATTGTAAAGGCTTTACGACGAGTCCGTAGTGTACGCTAACAGGAAGCTAGTATTAATTACTGGCAGCTTTCATTCGGATCTCATAGTGAAAAAAAACCCCGGAAAAACTCGCGATTTTCTCATTTGATAATGCTCTTATGTCATCAAAAAACAACGGAGAGTACAACAGATACAGTAGAGGTGTCCTTAAACTGAGTGTCTCTGAGTCAACATTAGTCCCTTTATCAAATTCAGATGTGAGATAATTTAACAATTTCATTGAAGTGCAAACAAAATTAGAAATTAGATGGATATTCCTATAGAGAAAGTTGAAATTGTATCTTATAAACATTTCTTTCTGAAGAAAATAGAAAAAAACTCGTTTTCTTGTATCTGACTATTTAAAAAAGAACGAGTAATTCACATAGTCATTCCTACATATCCTCCTTCACATAGATACCTTCTCATCAAGTCTGCGGAGTACACCTATGCTTGGGAGAGCAGTGTTTAGTTGCTTTCAGTTATCACAAATATCAAAGTGTGCAAACACCAGAGAAGGCTCACAGATACACATGAGCCAAACACAGGAGATTGTCATTTAGGTAGATTTTGAAGTAAGGATCAGAGTAATAAATATAATTATTTCAATGGAGGTACAATCACAGGTGAAATGTGTTTGCAATGACGACGGTACAAACTAAAGTTAATATACACTTTTATTAGTCTTGCTTTTGTTAACATCAACAAACCAGATAGGAAGACTAATTTCCTGTTAAATAATGTCCGTCTTCATCCAATTACAACTTGTTCCGGTTCACCTGACCTAATTAAAAAGTTAAATATTATATTTTCGAGATGTTGACTAAAATTAGACGATATAACACGAATAAAATTTTCCATTAAGTACTGCGAACAATAATCTGGTATGAAAACGATATCAATTTTATCTTCAAGTTGTTAATAAGTTTAACTGCCTTAATGTCTTTTAAATGCCATGCCTTTATCAACTATTAAGTTAGCGGACCTACGTTTGCTTACATTCTCTACCCTTCACAGCATAATAATTGAATAATGTTAATGTTCATAAAATGTCACTTACTCTGCTTCGCAAATGAACGCAAATATAGCCGTACACTGAACATCGTTGAGTTCCTTAAGTGGAGCATTGAGGGTCAAACAGTCTCCGTTGTTATTATCGTCACTAGGGTTTCCAGGTTCCCAGTGGTTTGGGTTTACTTGTGTTTTCGTTGATGACCATTCCCATATGCCCTCAACGAACATGTCACTTCCACCGAGATAGAACTGACTATGAAGAGCTGCGAGATAAAAATAAAATATTACAAAAAAACCCTCAATATTTAGGGAGATTACTACTTAATGAAAGGCATGCCCAAGTAAACCAAAGTGTTTACTGTCTGAGAGACAAATGTTATACCGGTTAGTTGTACATTGATATATTTCAGTTGTCTCATTAAGAGACTACAACCGATATAGCATTGACTATGAAATCGTTCGAGACATAATAGGTTTAGGGTGACTAAACACGACAAGGTATGCCAAGGGAAACACTAGTTTGTACTGCCTTTGTAATAAGTTATCTGTAAACTCATAGATGCATATGCTCCAATGGCAACGTGCAACCGAAAAATACACCAGTAAGTCTTTGTTTCAGTTCATAACCGGTTAACATGTGTCAAAAACTACAGCGCTATAAGACGCGATATTGAATAAAGAGACAAGTCAATGACCATGAAACATATTACACTATTAATTACAAAATACCATTGATAAACATGACAGTTGCTATGGAAACAAAGGAATACTATACGATGTTCAGACGCCGCATGTCCAGCCAGAAAAGCGAATGTAATCTCATCTGCTGGTTCAGCAAGTTTTGTCTCGAATCCTTTACAAATAGCCTTAAAAATAGAATTGTGGAAGAAATTTAAAGACCGTAACGGGGGAGGAAACATATCTTTTTTAAAACAAAAGCTCTGAATTTAATATATATGTAATTATAATTATTCATTATTTTAGTCATACTTTACTTACTAAATAATGTAAATATGTAAATGTTAGTATTATATGCATGATTTTA